CCTCAAACCATCTGCTACTTTCCACATGGCCTGCTTCCCCTGTCCAACCTCCTACTATAACAACTAAACAGAGGCATGGCCTAGGGCTTTAAAACTCAGCAATTTATATATTCTGCATGGTACTAAATTGGTAAACCTGACCTGAGAGGAGTCCCCTCCTACTCCTGCCAGTCCCAAGCTCAACCCTGGCTCCAGGGGCCACGCTCCACCTAGGGTACAGAGCTCTGGCTGTAAAGATGTGTTTGGTCCCACACTAGCCATACCTACACCAGCAGGAGAAGCCTGAGCTCTGTTGTGAGCTTTGTCTGGCTACCACTCTGTCATTAAAGGTAAGGACCCAGGTGCCAGTTTGCCGACAGAGGGCAGATATGCTAGCGAGCAGAGCACATACAAACGAACAGCACAGTGGCTGGTGCCAACTCTCGGCTTCACTGTGAGCCCAAGGTTAGCACAATGCCACAACCTCACTTCCTTCCAGCATTAACTTGGCGACAGATCTCACACCCTCTCCTCCTTCCATGGGCACTGAGAGATACAAACGAGCTACCTGTGGGAGTTGTCTGAGCAATGGCTGACCCAGTGCTCCTTCCTCTGCCTCCACTAAGGGCTGCAGATCATCTCCCAGACTCCTCTATGCTCTCACTTCTGCACACTCGGCAGAGCCCAGGCATCTAAACACCCAATAAATAAGTGCTTGTTGAAAGCACAAATGAATGAGAGAGGAAGTGGGGATGGAACACAGAAGTACTGGCGGGTTCCAGCCTCCAGCTCTGTGGACCTATTCACAGGGAGCAGCGTCTCCTGTTCATCCCAAGTCTCACGCATGAATTATTCATTGATACAGTAGGCGGGCACAGAAGAGCTGTGCCTTTGCAGGGGTCACCAAAAAGCCAGCAGTACCACCTGCTGCTGCCAGGGCAGAAGATGGCTCTGTCCTCACCAGGGAGGGAGGTGGGTGGGCAGGGAGAGGGGCACCCAAGTCTTCTGAATCACCAGGATATGAGCTTTGCTCCTACCAGGTGGCAGCTCTTTGTGTCTGGATGGAGGAGGAGGAAGTGCCCCCACTGACCTGGCAGGCACAACTGGCCTCCTTTCAGCCTCGAACATATCCTCCAGAGGCAGCCTGGCTAAGCTGTCCCAGTGCTGCTTGGAAAGACAAAGAGCTGGAGATAGCAGGCTGGCTACAAACCGTGGTTTGCAAACGGTTTTTCTTTCATTCAAAGGGTGCCACTGATGGTGCGTGGGAAGACTCGAATCTTTCCAGTTTATGGGTGGGCCACAGGATGGTGGGATGAGCTGTGACACAAGGTGCTCACTCTGGAGCAATGATGACGATGGCGCAGCACTATTCAAAAGCTCAGTGGACTCAGGAGCTGGGGGAAGGACATTCTTCCTGCAGATAGGAACATTCTGAAGAAAACTATGGTTTTAATGCTTTTTTATGTTAATAATGGGTTTCAGCTTAGTTGCAGAATATTACCCCTGTGAACAACAACAGGATGATGAAAAGATTATGTTAGAGTTCACTTACCTGGGGCTTCCACAACATTTAGGAGTGCTCATGAATAAAACGAAAAAAAGATACACATATATGTATAACTGCATCCATGACATGACCTTTGTTGTTGTTGTTAAGTGCGCTCAAATCAGTTCTGACTGATAGAGACCCTGTATAGGGTTTCCAAGAGTGGCTGGTGGGTTTGAACTGCTGACCTTGCAGTTACCAGTTCAGTGCTTATCCTACAGCGCCACACCAGGGCTCATAACATGACCTTAACTACATAAACACATGTTGTTGTTACTGTGTGCCATTTGACTCATAGCTACACTGTATAGGGTTTCCAAGTCTGTAAATCTTTCCAGGAGCAGAAAGCCACCTCTTTCTATGATGGAGTGGCTGGTGGATTGGATTTACCTGACCTGGTTGGTTAGCAACCCACTACGCCACATAAAAACATAAGTGCCCAGAAAAAAAACAGAAGTAGATATGCTAACATTTTAACACTGGTTCTCTCAGATATTAGAATTTGAGATGACTTTTCCAGAAGAGACCAGAGAGGCCCTGGGTAGAAAAGTACAAGTGGCCACTAGTTACATGTGGCCGCCCTCAGACATCTGGATTAGAACCAACTATTTTTTGGAAATTCACTGTCAACACTTCAAACAGAATTCTAAAATTCAGATTTCAACCTTTATGAAAAGATAGAACTCATAATGCCAAAATGTAGAAATCCAAATGTTCATCAATTGATGAATGGGTTGGCAAGCTGTGGTCTATCCATAAAGAAGAAGGAAGCATTAATCAGCACTCCCACATGGATGAATGTTTACAACATGATGCTGAGTCAAAGCAGCAAACACATAGCTCATACATATGTGTGACCCAAATGATATGAAATGTACAGAATAGGCAAATACATTAAGACAGAAAGTAGACAAGTAGCTGCTAGGGGCTAGGTGAGGCGACTGGAAAGTGACTATTAATGGGCAAGGGCCCTTTATGATTGAGATAAAAAGTTATGTACATTACTATACTGTTGTTGCTGTTAAGTACTGTCAGGTTGATTCCAACTCATAGCGGGCCTGCACAGGGTTTCCAAAGGAGCAGAAGGTGACCCTGAAGCTCAAACTGACCTTGAGGTCCAGTGCTTATCCTATGGTGCCATACTAAATTGTATACTTTAATGGTTAAAGTGTTTCATTTTATCTCAGTTTAAGAAAACACGGGTATAGTGCATTCCAAGGTGATGCTCAGATGTCCCAGGCACTGGATGCCTTGCTCCTGGTGGCCCCATTATACCTCTTCCTGCCCAGCATCCTGGACCTGGCCCCTTACTGATTGTGCCTACAGGTGTTAGCAGTGTCTGCAAGTATTGGAGAACATTCGGTCACCAAAGAAGGACAATGGACCACTGATCTACCACCATTTAGCCACAGGAAAACTTCTGCAATTCATGAGGACAGGGGTCACTTCCTGGCCCAGATCCCTGATTTCTGGATCAGTCCAAAATATTCAGTCTAGGATACAGCCTTGTCTTGGTCTACCAGCCAAAAGAAGGGGAAGGGTTCATTTCTTAATAGAATATTTTGTCTTTCCTGGCCAGGTACCATGTTGTTGTTGTTGTTCAGTGCCGTCGAGTCGATTCCGACCCATAGCGACGCTGTTATAGGGTTTCCAAGAAGCAGCTGGTGTGCTTGAACCGCTGCCCTTGCAGTTCAAATGGCTTTGCAGTCCGGCGCATTAAACCACAGCGCCACACCAGGAGTCCATATACACTGGTAAACAAGTCAGACCGTTTAAAAAAAACAAAACACAAAACAAGGCAGCAAGTAAAAAGTAAGTCTCCCAACTATTACTCAGACTCCCAGCATCACCTTAGACTCAGTCCCTAGCTCAGCACAACTTAAACTCACCTGGCCCCTGGTAGGACCATTTTTGTTCCTGGACACTGAGAAAGCTATCCATCTGCTTACTGACCCCATCATTGAGGGTAGCCATCATGCCACAGAACTGAATCCAAACTTGAAGCTACTGACTGCAAGATCCCACACCTCCTAGCACTGCGCCCTGCTCCCCTAGTACAGTTGGCTCCTTCATACCATCCATACCCGCTGCAGATGAGTACAGGCAAACTCTCCTTTCTGCTCCCCCAATATCATCCTGGGGTCCCCCCAGCAGCTGGCTTCACACTACTCATACTATCTGTGTATGCCCTACAGGGATGTCCTACCCCAATTCCCCTCAGAAACCATCTCTAGGAAGTCACGCCAGTAACCTTCAGGGAGTCAAAACTGAAAATTCCGAATGGGGCTTACACCCAAGGCTCTGTCTGGACTACTGTGGCCAAAGGCATCATTAAAGGGCATTCAGAACTGCAGAGCAGTTTCTGGACCAGATCCCAGCTGCTCCCCTCATCAGCAGTCTCACACTGGGCAGTGCTCTGTGCCCACTACACTAGAGTTCCATGCCCTCGTGCCTTCATAGAGCTGAGTCTTCTGCTAGGAACACCCTCGCCTCTCCACTGACAGGCTGTCTCCTGCAATTCCTTGAAGATTCCTTCTAAGAACCACTTTCTGCACTCCCTGGTATGCTGACCCAGCATGCACTCAGATACCTCTAGCACAATCACATGGAGTATGCCGGCACCAGATCAAGGTCTAGACAGCATGAGCACTGTTTGTCTTTGGATCACTGCATAGTAGGACAGAGTCTTGTGTTTGAGACACCCTGGCAAACATCCAGGGCACCAAGATGAACAGAAAAGATGGTTCCAGCTTGGGGAAACAGGGACTCCCAAGTTGCCACAAAACACACAATTTCAAGTTCTAGAAAGCCTGAAGAGCAGCACTGAGATCTCGGAAGTGACTTGCCAGGGCCACATGAAGAGGCCCAGGTACCCTATCCACCAACTTAAGAAGCCCATGGGCCAAAGTTACCACCACAGGTCAACTGATCATGCCACACTTAAGTTTAAAATTTTCTACCAAAAATTCTCTTAAATTTGATATCAAACAGAATCTTCACTCAATCTATTAAATTGCTTTAAATATCAAGTAGGAATTACAGCAAATGTATCCCTTCTCATCAGGAGTCATGTTAAGCACATCCTTAATTTTCAGCTATTTACATAAAACGTGACTTAGACATTTCCTGCTGTGTATTACAGCTCCTTCAACTGGGGTGCTAAGTACACTTAGAAGGCTGTGAGTGTTGAAACTAGTCCCAGGGAAGACACAGGTCAGTCACTTCTGATGCTCACGGGAAGCAAAAAGGAAGTCGACTTTCCCTTGACCAAAGCAGGATCATTCAACATGGGAAGAGATGGAGTACAGAGCACAATCCTCAATAAAAAACAGTATCACTGTAGGTGCCTGGAGAACACTGAGAATTCATCCCAAATAACCCAACCAGGACCCCACTTCAGCCATCAAGAAGAACTCTTTTTTCTGCCCCTCAACTATCCAGCAGGTGAGCTTAGAGGAGGAACCAAGAGTCTTACCGAAGGATGGCCAAGGATCCGAGGTACTTGCTGAGGCCACCGGCCCGCCCCAGGGGTTGGTCTGGCTAGCCGTGGGTGATGGGCCCCAAGGCTCTGCTTTCTGGGCCACAGGACCCAAGTTGGGGAGAGCATCCATTAAATCCAACAGAGTGGTTTGCTGTGGGTGGGAACCGTGCTTCTGAGACAAAGAAGGAGAGAGTCTTTTTTATTGCTACCAAACACACACCCACTGCTACTGAGTTAAGTCAGACTCATGAGACCCTGTAGGTCAGGGAAGAGCTGCCCCATAGGGTTTCCAAAGCTGTAATCTTTATGGAAGAAGACAGCACATCTTTCACCTTGTGTTTGAACCACTGACCTTTTGATTCGCAGCCGAGCACTTAATCACTGTGCCACCAAGGCTCATTTATATTGCTACAGTCATAGCAATTCTCTACATGTTAATCATAAGTATGCACCAAGCCCCCTAGCTACAGAAGAGGGTCCCACTCATATCTATCATCAACTCCCAAGACCTTTCTCCTGAAGTTTCCTCTTCCCCATTCCCACAGTCACCAAGAAACCCTGTACCGGGTGACCACTGGACTTCTGCCCTCTATGGGGAGAAGGGCCATCTCCTCAACAGCTGAAGAGTGTACTAGGAGCTAAGTCCTAACCTGCTCATCTCTATGACTAAGGACAGCACTTGGCACAGAAGGAGGCCAACGACCACAATTAAAGCCAGTGTGGTGGAAGACTTGCCCTGCACCAGAAAACTCTCTAAAACACTTGACAGTGAACTTCATTTGTCCCTAGATCCAGTGCACTAGGTGTGGTGCAAATGGTTAACACATCTTGGAAAACGGCCCAGTAACTTACTTCCAAAAAATTGGCCACTGGAAATTCTACAGAACATAGCTCCTACTCTGACACTACAGAGGTTACCAAGAGCTGGAGTTGATTCAATGTCAGCTATTTTTAAATATTCAACATAACTGTAGGGTTATCATCTCATTTCACGGATAAGGAAACTGAGGATATGGGGTGTTAAGTATCTCCTGGTTAATGGGTAGAATGTGAACCTGTAACAGTAAACTCAGGCAACCAGGCTCACCCCCAATGCCTACCTGACTCTCGGGGCAGGGGTAAGCAGGAGTGCAAAAGGGTCTGTCATGGCCGAATCAGACATGTTTTCAGCTATGTCCTCACTTTACTTGTGTTTGTCACAGGCATCCATGACATTTGTTTAAAGGGCGGACCACTGTGCTCCGAGAAGGCTCTCTGCATACCACACACATGCTACAGGACTGGGAAGGGGGCATTTCCGTAGCAACCATGGAACAGTGTCCAACATTTCCCTTCCCAATGAAGCTCTTACCTCTTTCTTTTTTGGAACTTTAACTGTGTCTCTTCGACTTTCTTCGAGGGCCATCTGTAATCTGAGGTCATCCCCCCGCCTGAGGCGTTCTTCCTGCAGAGGGACAACTCGAACTTGAAGCTGATTTTTTTTTTTAAGTAATTTATTTTGTTTTTGTTGAGATTATAACAGCAAAACATATACCAATTCAATTTCTACATGTACAAGTACAATTAAATGACACTAATTAAGTTCTGAAAACTATGCAATCATTCTCACTCTCCTGCTCTGAATCGTTCCTCCTTCATTAGCCTAATCTCACTGCCCACTAAGCGTCCTATCTGATCTTTCCAGCTGCTTTTAATAGTTACTTAAAAAGCACAATGCTCAAAGCAGAGATTCTTTAACAATTAAGTTAAACTATTGCTTGGTGTAAAGACTTCAGGGGCTAATTTTGATTTTTTGGTGTATGTCAGCGCAATAGTTTCAGGGATTTATCCAGTTTCCATGGCTCCAAAAAATTAGATTCCTTGACAATTTGAAATTCTGTTCCACATTCCCCAAAAGGATTCATTATAGATGCTTTAATCAAAACTTTCAGTACTGGTAGTTGAGTACTATGTAATTCTTTTGGTCTTAAAGCAAAGGAAGTAGTCGAGCCATCCACATATTCTATATCCTCCTCTTATTCCTGACTCTGCTTTTTCTGTTGCTCCAGGTAAACACAGATCAACTATACTTTGGATGGCTGCTTGGAAGCTTTTAACTCAACAAATTATGAGATAAAACAGAAGCACTAAAGCACTAAACAGTATTAGGCCAATTAACTGGTATATGTCCCTTGAAACCATGACCCAACCTCAAAACGAAATTCCATGAAGTGTTTGAGTATATATAAACAGTCTCAGTAGATTTTGTTGTTGTAAATACAGGTATGCATTGCATTAACATCCACTCTGACAATGTTCAACCACATATATGCCCTTAGTCTCAGAGTTTTGTTTCTGTTTTCCAGCAACCAGACAGCATTTCTTGGGGATGCTGGGAATGCACAGTTGGTGGTTGTGCAGGAAGGTGGGTAGGCAGGAGCTCTCCCCTCTGGAGCCTTCACACAGGCAGATGTACATCTCGCTAGTCACAGCCAGTTCCTCACCTACTCCTATGCAGTGGATCCTCTGGCGCTGGATGAGCTTAGAGCTGCTGCCTAGCAGCAGGAACTATAGGCTTCTCACCTACGTGGGCCTGAAGCTGCCAGAAATGGGAGCAGCCTCAGAAGACCTTTTGCTGTACTCATAGCACTCACAGGGTTTCTTAACTATGAGAATGTGCTTGGTATTTGATGAGCACAGAGTTCCGGATGACAGCTTTGCCACACTGGCTGCAGATGTATGGATTGTGCTGATGCCGCCCCACAATGGACCACTGGCTGAAGGCCTAGCCGCACTAGCTACACTCAGGGCTTCTCACCATTGTGATGTGCAAATGCTACATGAAGTGTGGCTGCAGCTGAAGGCTTTGCTACCCTGGCCACACTCCTAAGGCTGCTCACCTTTGTGGATGCTAGATAAAGAACGAGCAGCTATGGAAGCACACCTGGTAGGTTTCGCGCCCATGTAGATGCACTGGTGATTCAGCAGCAGTGAATTGTGCTTTCAACTCTTGTTTACAGGCCTCATGCAGTACAACTTCCTGCCCCTTATGCCACGCTGAAGAGTTCCCAAAGCCTGTGTCCAGGCCAAGGCAGTTGCATAGCTCAGCCCACCTGGAGTAGCCACTGGTGCCCAGAGCTCCATGCAGTAGGAGGATCATGTGCTAGGCATCTCTTTTCTACAGGCAGGGGCCAGCCCCTGGCTGTTTCAAACTGGTCTCTGGCTCCACACTTGGGTCTCCAAAAAAGGGCCCTCAGGAGGTGCTTCAGTATCCCTGTGACCTGGCCCACCACCACTTCAGGAATGTCTGGCTGGGGAGACAGTGGTGCATTCTTCAAAAGGGCCAGGACGTGTTCCTCACAATCTTCACTACCTGAACACCCTGGAGGTGCAGGTCCAACAGCTCTTCCTCTGGCTATTGCTAGGAGAGCACTTCTAGGATGGGTGTGTGTGTGTGTGTGTGTGTGTGTGTGTGTGTGTGTATCATGTTAAATGCTCAAGGAGGTGAAGCAGAGCCTCATGGTGGTAGTGGATGCTAGGTATCCCCGGTGATAGAGAGACTGGCAGGAGGGTGTGGCAGGAGGGGGTTGCCATCTTCCATGAGGTCTCCTGAAGGTCTGGTCTCCTGAAGGTGTGCACACCTGGGACTCCTATCCTCACTGTCTGAGCAGAGGTGGAGGTCTCAGAATAGAAGCCCTTTCAGCTCATTGGGCTACAGACTCTTACTGAGCTCAGGTCCAGACTCCTCCACTGCAACAGCCCAAGTGGGGAGTGGCCCTAGCACCACTGGGTCAGGTGCAAACACTCCTCCGCCCCAGCTAGAAGAGTTGTGCCTGTGAAGGGTATGATCACAGACAGTGCAGCTTAAGAGAGCACCAGTTGCCTGGGCTTAAGTTCAAGGCACCACACAAGCCGTGTGATTTTAGATGTGTGATTTGGACACAATATCCAAATCACACACTGTTCTATTTCACAGAACATATCATGGATGTTAAGCGACACATACCTGTATATATCAAACAATATTTGCCAATTATACGTTCAACATATACACAACGTTTGACATCAACTATATTAATCAGCCTATGCAACACCTAGCCTTAATCCACTTGATTTTTTCCATCACCCTTAACAGAAACTCAAGTCCTCCACAAAAGCAACAATCTCCCTTTCCCCCTCCCTCCCACCTCTGGTAACCACTGGTAAACGTTGGCCTCTATATATCTGGCTATTATTCTCTTTTTAAATAAGTGAGGTTTTAATGTAATAATACTGGTACACAGAGCAAAGCAACTGGTAGCAATAGGATATACAACATTGTATTCAGCATCATCTTAAAGGAATGGTTGGAAAGAACTGATAAAACAGTATTATTTTTCAGTAGTGAATATCATGCACCCCAAAATAAAATCAGTAGGCTCCTTCCTCACTGGGCCACATGAAATTTCAATCTCTTTGTTATAGGTGCCAAGAAGAATGAAAAAAGGCACCACCAAATTGGGGAAAAAGAATATTTAATGTTTTTTCCTCAAAATAAAATGGCTTTTAAATTATCTCTAATGATAAATCAATGTTTCCTTATAAAACCCCAAATTAGACATCCCAGAAAGAATTAAGAAGATAAGAATCACATAGCATTCCACCTCTCACTGCATATGATTCCAGAAAACTCTGATAGCTAACAAATTATTTACATGCTCCTATTCATAAACATGGCATTATAAATAACACACAGATATGATTGATTAACTGAAAGGGATCGAACCGTCTGTCTGGGCCCTGCATCTCCCAGCGAGCGATCTCCTATGCATCTGCGTGCAAAGACTCGAGGACTGTGTAACTTTTCTACCTGGATACAGAGAGGCCATCATTGAAGCTGTCCACTGTGGTTGAGTTTTAGCATATTACTCATCATAAATAGACAAAATAATGCTGGGAAACATCCTGGCACATATATCCCTAATATTGTTCCCTGAGCACCAGCTCCCAAACTCAAGTAGTCAGAGTGCTAGCCCTGACTCTGTCTACCCTTTTCACCAGGGGTATGTGAACACACCGAAAAACTGCACTAACGTAAAGAATGATTTCAGAGGAAAGTTTACTCTCTCCTTTTCCTTTTGTCCCCATTTGGAAGTTATACATGTTTACCAAAAAAGTAGAACTGAAAAACAGTTCAAATTACATGTACTTCAGTCATCTGAAGACAAGTATTCTTTTTACCCGGAGCACTCTGTCTTCTTTCTTTCTAGCTTTTTTTCCTGGGCCTCTGAGCTTGGCTAGGGCTCTTGGTGTATCTCTCAGCAAACTGCCCTACTGGGGAGAGTCTGCCCATTCCCATACTTTGCAGGAGGTGTCACTTCATTGCTCCCCTGCCTGAGGCACTCTGAACTCAGACTCTCAGGAGAAGGCATGTCCTGCACACCTGTCTCTTAAGGAGACTATGCACACTCACATCACTAAACCTGGAAAGCTCTCAACGCAGGTCAAGGCTGCACAAGCCTTTTTAGGAAGTCTTTTTGACTGGTTTCTTCTCTGGGCACTGGCTTCTTAAAAAATCTTTCCTAAATGTACTAGCTCTTTCCTAAATGTTCTAGCTCCCTCCCTGAGGTGGCCAGTGGGTAAGCGTAGTGGCAGCATGAAGTCCCAGCTTGGCAACCATATCCAAAATGTCTTGAAGACAGGGCTGTGTTGTGGTCCTCCCTGCAGCCCTCCCCACTTTGCCCACACAAGGTTGACCACACTAGGCACTGACCTGCTCAGCCACTTCTCTGCTCATGGCCAGTGCCAGCTGCAGCTGCAGCTCCTCTTCTCCACTGGTCTGGGGCCGAGCTTGCTCCAGCTCTGAGGACACTCGTGGGGAAGTAGCTGTGGGGTCAACAAGGCAAAGTCACCGAGTGCAAAAGACTAGGGCCCCACAAACCTCATCATATAACATCCCATTCCATTGCAAATCCATAGGCCTGTCAATAGCCCAGCAACATGAGAAAGGTTCATGGAGCACTTCAAGAGTTGTTGTTGTCAAGTGCCATCGAGTCAGTTCAGACTCATGGCGACCCCGTATAGGGTTTTCAAGGAGTGGGTAGTGAACTTGAATCACCAAACTTGTGGTTCAAACCGACTTTGCAGTCCAGAACATTAACTAGCAAGGGTAATACAAGTCAAATGTGGTTTCATCATAACAAATTACACAGCACAGGACCCAAGAAGACACCTTAAGTTACCAGCCTTCATGGGGTTGTGACCTGCAATTCCATAGCACATCTGCATTGTTTCAAGTATATGAACAAATTCTTAAAAAAGATTAATACTATATTTCTTAAAAAGCTGGATTTAAAAATATTTTCCAAACAAGTACAGGACATTTGTGGTCCAAACATATTACATGAAATGCCCCCAGCATTTTCTAGTATCACTTTGTTGTTGGTTGCCATCAAGTTGGTTCCGACTCACAGCGACCTTACGCACAACATAACGAAACACTGCTGGTCCTGCGCCTCCTCACAATTGTTGCTATGCTTGAGCCCATAGCTGCAACCATGATGCAAATCCATCTTGTTGAGGATCTTCCTCTTATTCACTTACCCTCCACTTTACCAAGCATGATGTTCTTCTTCAGGGCCTGATCCCTCCTGATATGTCCAAAGTCCAAAGTATGAGAGACGAGGTTTCGCCATCTTGGCTTCTAAGGAGCATTCTGGCTGTATTCTTCCAACACAGATTTGTTTGCTCTTCTAGCAGTCCATGGTGCTTTTAATATTTTTCTCCAACATCGTAATTCAAATACACCAATTCTTCTATAATTTTCTTTATTCACTACCCAACTTTTACATGCATAAAAAGCTATTAAAAATACCATGGCTTTGGTCAGGCTCACCTTTGTCTTCCAACTGACATCTCTGCTTATGAACACCTTAAAGAAGTCTTATGCAATAGATTTGCCTAATGCAATATGTCGTTTGATTTCTTGACTGCTGCTTCCATGAGTGTTGACAGTTGATCCAAGAAAAACGAAGTCTTTGACAACTTCAATCTTTTCTCCATGTATTATGATGCTATTTATTGGTCCAGAGATGAGGGTTTTGGTTTCTTTACATAGCCATACTGAAGTCTGTGTTCTTTCATCTTCATCAGTATTTTAAGTCCTCTTCATGGTCAGCTAAAAAGTTATATCATTTGCTTATCACAAGTTGCTAATGAGTCTTCCTCCAATCCTGATGCCAAGCTCTTCTTCTATTCCAGCTTCACAGATTATGTGCTCAGCATACAGACTGACTATATGGTGAAAGAATACAATCCTGGCATACACCTTTCCTAATTTTAAACCAGTTGGTATTTCCCTGTTCTGTTTCAATGACTACCTCTTGGTCTATGTACAAGTTCCTCATGAGTACAATTAAGTGTTCAGGAACACTCATTGTCTGCAATGTTGTCCATAGTTTGTTACAATCCACAGGTCAAAAGCCTTTGCCTAGTCAATAAAGCACAGATAAACATGTTTCTGGTATTCTCTGCTTTCAGTCAAGATCTATCTGACATCAGCAATGATATCCCTCGTTCCATGTTCTTCTCTGAATCTGGCTTGATCCTCTGGCAGTGCCCTGTCAATGTATTGCTACAGCTGTCTTGCTGTCTCTAGCAAAATTTTACTTGCATATTATAAGAATGATATTGTCTGATAACTTCCACATCTGTTGGATCACCTCTCTTTGGAATGGACATAAATATGTTCATTTAGTTGGCCTAGTGGTTGTATTCCAACAAATTTCTTCACATAAATGAGTGAATGCCTCCAGTGCTGCATTAGTTTGTTGAAAGATTTCAGTTTGTATTCCATCAATTCTCAAGACTTCTGGCTCTTGATCATATGCAATGTCATGAAGTGGTTGAATTACCAACAGTTTCTTTTTGGTAAGGTGACTCTGATATTCCTTACATCTTCACTTAATGCTTTCTATATCCTTGCATATTTTGTTGACAGATTCCTTCAATATTGCAAATTAAGCCTTGAATTACTTTCTTCATTTCTTTCAGCTTGAGAAATGTTGAGCATGTTCTTCCTTTTTGGTTTGTAACTCCAGATCTGTGTACATTCATTATGTTACTTGAGTCTCTCCTCTTGAGTTGTCCTTTACAATTTTCTGTTTAGCTGTTTCATTTCCCCAATTCTTCCTTTTGCTTTATAGCATCTATACACTAATAGCAAGTTTCAGAGTCCCATCTGACATCCATATTGATCGCTCCCTTCTTTCGTCTTCTTAATGACCTTTTTGCTTTCTTCCTCTATGATGCTTTAATTTTTTTTATGTCATTCCACAACTCTTTTGGTCTTCAGTCATTAGTGTCTAATGCATCAAATCTGTTATTGAGATCACCTTTAAATTTAGATGGAATATCTTGAAGGTCAAATTTTGGCTCTCTTGGGCTTGTTTTAATTTTCTTTGGCTTCAGCCTGAACTTGCATATGAGCAACTGAAGTTCTGTTCCAGTCTGTACTGGCCTTGTTTTGGCTGATGATATTGAACTTTTCCACCAACTATTTCCATATAGATGCATCCCATATGATGGGTTTCATGTGTATAGTCATCTTTTATGTTGTTTAAAAATGGTATTTGCAATGAACAAGTCGTTGGTTGTGCAAAATTCTATCATGCAATCTCCATCATCGTTTCTATCACCAAGGCCATGTTTTCCAACTACTGATCCTTCCTTTGTTTTCAACCTTTGCATTCCAATTGCCAGTAATTACCAACACATCTTGATTGTATGTTTGATTAACTTCAGATTGAAGAAGTTGGAAGCATTATTCATGCCTGGCTTTGAATAATAGTGGTATAAATTGGTCTTCCTTGTTGTTATTGCTGTTGTTAAGTACTGTTTTGTCAGTTCTGACTCACAGAAACCCTGTACAGGTTTCTGAAGGGTAGCTGGTGGGTTCAAACTGCCAAATTTGTGGTTCTCAGTCCAGTTCTGATCCTACAGTGTGACATGTATGGATATTATTCTATCACAGACAACACTGCACCTCATGACTGATCTTGGTATGCTTTTTATGACATAGAATGTGATGTCATTCTCTTTTTCATTCCTAGCATAGTAAACCACATGATTGCCTGATTCCAAATGGCCAATACCAGTCCATATCAGTTCACTAATCCCTAGGATAGTGATGTTTATGCATTCCATTCCATTTTTAACAACTTCCAATTTTCCTACATTCATACTTTACACATTCATTCCATGTTCTGATTATTAATGGATGTCTACAACTGTTTCTTCTCATCGTGAGTTGTGCTTTTTATTCCATTCACATCATCATAGTCAACTCTACTTTGAGGAGGCAGCTCGTCTCCATTTGTATTCTTTTGAGTACCTTCCTACCTGAGTGGCTCATCTTTCGGCACTTCGTCTGACAATATTCTGTTGAAAGCCATCATGTTTCAGTATTCAGTATTCTCATACTATCTAACAGTGTTCCACTGCGATCTATAATGTTTCAGTGGCATAACATTTGGACGTAAATCCACCTCTCCTTCTCCTAGTCTGTGTTAGTCTGGAAGCTCAGCTGAATCCTGTCAATAATGGGTGTAGCCCATTTAAAATACTGGTAGCATAGCTTCCAGCATCATGTAACTCATGAAGCCCAACTCTTCTGCACCAATTTCTGCAGAAACTTGTTTTTTAAAAAAAAACAGCACTGCACATTTACTTTAAAAAGACAAACATACGAACATTTTTGCTATACTTATCTGGTTTAAACACCTGTAAGCAGCTCCAAGAAAGACAGCTTCTGCTTAAGGGATGAAATGTGAATTCCCAGCTGATACAGCAAACCCCAGATAATGGACTCCCATAAAGGGATCATAGAGAGGCACACTGAAAGCAGGCTGAGCCCGCCACACTGGAGTCTGGATGTGTCTAGAAAATAGATGTAAAATCTGGGGGTATGTGCCTGAGTATGCAACCCTTCATCCTAGTAGAGGGCCTACTGTGCCTCTACAATTCTTAAGAGACGAATCTTGGCTATGCTTCTGTGTCTTCATATATGTTGGGTCCTCCACTCATCCAACTTTTCCTCAACTTCCAGAGGCCTTAACCTTCCCTACAGGAAGGCCTCCCCAATAAGGTTGTGCCAGCTTTCTGCCACTCCCACAGAGCAATTGGCACCCTGGGGCTATATCATCTATGCATCATCTCACCTTCCATCCATCCTCAATATTGAGCAGACAGCTAGCTACCAAATATCTGTTGTTAGAATGAATGCATACATGCATAGATGGAAAGATGAGCAGATGGAGAATTCAATTAGCTGGATCATGGAAGTTGTTTTAAAATGCCCTGGCGGCGCTAGAAAAAAAGCACTGGACTGCTAAACTCAAGGTCAACAGTTCAAACCTTCAGCCCCAAACAGTAGAAAGGTTTTCTACTTCTGTAAAAATGTACAGCCTCTGAAACCCTATATAGATTAAACTTTTGTTTTGGTGTGTTATTAAGAAATTAAATTGCTAAAATGGATTGAGGAATGATTAGAAATTAACTCAATGGCAGTAGATATGTTTGGTTTGGTTTGGTAACTGTGTCATAGTTTACCTCCTTTACTTGCATCTACTCTAGCAAAACTATCAGTATTTACTCACCTAGAGGGGACTTCTGCCTAAATCACAAATCTAAATCTACTTCTTAGGATTTGCCTCTTTGGAAAGTAAACCTAAAATATCCAATACATTCAACTGATTCAGATTATTCATAGTAAGCCTGCAGGCCAGAGGAGAGCTGTCCATAAGGTTTCTGAGGCTGTAAATCGTCACAGAGGCAGACGACTTCATCTCTTTCTCATGTAGCAGCTGCTGGGTTCAAACCACCAACCT